TCTTCGGATATTCTTATTCTTAATAAAGCTGATTCACTTGTTACTTACATCGTTGTTGAGTTGCATACTTAACAATTGGCGACGAGGATGGGATACAAGAGCGGGTAGGGAGCCCCTCTGAACTGACACAAGAATGGAGACACACACCCGGCCGAACCAGCTGAGGCACCACTAGTCGTTGTGGATGCACCAACCGTTGACATGGCCGTCAACCCAGCGTTTGAAGCATTCGAACCAGGAACGGAAGACTGGGACTCATAGCTGTCCAGGTTCGAGTTCCACCTGCAAGCCAACAAGATCGTGGACGAGGCACGGAAGAAGGCAACGCTGCTCAGCTCATACGGCACAATCGTCTTCGATGTCGCCCGGTCCCTGGTTGCCCCGACCGACATCCATACGGTGACCTGGAAAGGTCATCACGGACAGGCTGAAGGCCCACTTCTCGCCACAGCCGTCCCAAATAGCTTGTCGACACGTGTTCTACAAGCGAAGCCAGGGCCCAACCGATTCCATCGCTGAGTACGTAACGGCCCTGCGGAAGGCAGCCCGACCCTGCAATTTCGCCAATCTTGAGGAGGCTCTACACGACTGTCTCGTGTGCGACCTTCGGGACAAGAGGCTTCAACAGCGCCTGTTCGCAAAAACAGCGATTACATATGAAGTGGCCTATGTGGAGGCTTTCGCCGCCAAAGCAGCCGAGAGGTCAACGCGAGAGGTCCATCAGCGCCATTTCCATGCCGGAAAGGACCAGGATGTACACCACCAATCAACCAGCAGCTCCAAAGGGGAGGCCGATGACGTCCATCGCACACAAGCTACTCGTCAGAAATGGACCCCACTGAAAACTGCACCGCGGCGCCCTTGCGCTGGCTGCGGCGGCAGTCATGAGCGAGACCAGTGTTGGGCATGAGATTTCATTTGTCATGCCTGTGGAAAGCACGGTCATCTGGCCAGGGTTTGTTGGGCCAAGAAGAGGTCGCCACTGTCTCCTTCTGCGAGGCCTCAGGTTCGAAGCACCAACAACACACGGTCTGCCGACTGCCACCAGACCGACTCCTGCAGCTGCACCGCACCGCACAGTCCTGAACACCGGAGCAAGCGTCAGCAGAACACTGGAGTAAGCAGGAAGATCCAGGTCACAGTTCGTCTTGACGGAGTTCCATGCGACATGGAGGTTGACTCCGGGTCCGTACTGACCATCATCTCATCACAGACTTGGCAACGTTTGTTCCCGTGACGGAGCTGCCGCCACCTGACTCCGTCCACGGCATACCTCTTTGATTTCCAGGGGCGGCGCATTTCACTAGCTGGCCAGGCCAGTTTTGAGGTGGAGTTCAAGGGTCGCAAGGTACAGTTGTCCCTCCTGATAGCTGAGGGTGAGCGGGCCAGTTTGCTGGGCCTAGATTGGTTCAAACCTCTTGGTATTGCTATAACTGGTGTAAACAAGGTGTGTGCGAATAAAGGGAATTGCATTTATGCTGAGTTCCCAGAGGTTTTTGGTGAAGGGCTGGGTCAGTATACAGGTCCACCTGTGAGGTTCAACCTGGATCCCTCCGTGTTACCCATCCGCCTAAGGTATAGGAAGGCTAAAATAGAGGCAGAATTAGACAAGCTTATAGCCCAAGGTATTCTCGAACCTGTACCATATGGTACAGTGGGAGACCCCGATTGTAACACCTGTTAAATCTGATGGAACTGTGCATATATGTGCCGATTACAAGTGTACGATCAATAAGGCTCTGCAACAACATTCTTACCTGGTGCCTGTGATTAGCCACGTTTTGGCATCCCTTGGGGGGGGGGGGGATTTGGC